GGTTCGCCAATCTGTTATATCTGACTGCTGACCCGCTCCAGTGCCTGAAAAAATACTCACAGAAGGGAACACAACAGCCATATTCCGAACAAGCGAGTCGAGAGTGAATGTGCAACGGTCTCAAGCTATTTATTGGAGGGACATTGTCTGAACTTGGTCCAATGCTGATGCACACGGTCTGGCTTTGGTACGATGCTTTGACGGGCTGCACATTGCGGGGGCGTTGTTTGACCTTGACCAGCGCTGACTCTCGCTGCCTGGGTTTGATACAAGGTTGTGAGGCGCTGCATATCGAGGGGGCGTTGTCTGTCTGGTCAACATCTAGCGGAGCTGAGAGTCTCAGTAGATTCCAGGCATTCGGTGGTTGCTCTCAGGAATGTGACCTTCCTGATAGTTAGGAAATATGGGACATCTTTGGCGAGTTTACAACTAAACAGATGACTGACGGGTTGCGCTTAGTTTGTGCGGGTTTGAACCATTTCGTTATACTCAACATGCCCCAACGGGTTCCCAACACATCCCCATCCTGGTCCTCTTGTTCCAGACCTCAGTGTCCGCCCCCACCGCAAACAGAAAGGAAGACAGGAGAATCATCTGCTTTGTTTGCTTCCGTTGAATGTCACATGCTTACGCGACATTGTTCTACACAGTTGGTTGCTTTTGGCTCCTCAGTATCGACCGTTGAAACTTCCTCCTTTTTGTTCACGTGCTTCCATCCTGAGTCATCGTCACCCACAATTTCTTCAGGTGGCGCATCAGGCCAATCTGATGACCTTAGAATCTTAGCCCCTTTCGTTTCAGTATGGTCATTTATGTGTGGTTGAGTGAGTCACGCCACCAAGCCTGATGAGAAACGGTAGCTTTGTTTACCAGTTTGGAAGTACTCAAGCAATCTGCAAATGACTTGACAATCGAGCTTATCCCAAGTGAAAAGAGCATTTAGGCAAATAAACTTGCCATGTCGTCAAAAGTACTTTCACCGTGGATCAACAATTCCCAGCACATTCAAACCCCTTCATTTTTGTCAAACCCAGCTACGAATTGACCTGTCAATCACTAGTTTAATTCTCAGTGTGCCATTCCTTTCCAATATGTTGAAATCATTCATACTCAAATCCAAATATCGACGTTTTTTGTTCTTATCTGGTGATTTTTTTCAGAACATGGTACAGACCACCGGTTACATTAACCCAGTGGCAGCCCTGGCTCTTCAGCTTCAGCAGGCCAGTCAACTTGCAGCGGCTAACATTCCCAGCAACGTTGCCGGTCTAGCAATGATGACATCGTTGGGCAATAACAGTGCAGGGACTGGTCACCTTTCCTCACTTTTACACGCCTCACGACCAAACCACATGAGTCCCTCAACAACCAATACAGCCTTGAATGCTGGCTGTCATCCCATGGCTGCAGCGTTGAGCGCACATCATCTGAACCCTCTCGCCCCACAGCTCGCTGCGCTCTCCACCGTGACCACAAGCAACGCTCCCGATTCTGCAGCCAATCCAGCCTCGGTGAGCGGTGTCGACGCGGCCACAATGGCAGCTGCAGCGGCTGCGGTTGCCATGGCTACCGCTGGGGGCAACGGCGCAGGCGTTGGAGCTCCTGGACCAACAAGCACGTGTGGATCAACTATAAGTGTCTCCTGTGCCTCAAACGGGATCAGTGCACAAGCCTTGGGCTTGGGAGCCACAGCGAACGCAGCCCCTGGTCTCGCGCTCCACTCTGTCCCAGGAACGCATCCTCCGAATCCCACCCTCAGCGGTTTGATCGCTGCGTCCCTACCGCTCGGGCAGACAGGTAAGTGCGAAATTACTATTGCTATGTTATTTGAGCTGACTTTGCTCAGAAATGTTCTGTTGGTGCTCACGAAAACCTCACCTAACCTCGTCCTAAAGCTACAAGCCATAGAGGAGTTCTATGACCACAAACAGCAATCAAAAACCGCCCACGTGTGTGCTATGTACGGAAGCGGGTACGATCAATGGCTATGCGCGACCTGAGAACGAGCGCACAATCCCCAGTTATGACGCGAGCCCTACCACTCCTAGCGCAAAGAGGAGAAGACCAGACCTTCAGAGGAGGGCTTTTACTGCCTCAACCAAAGGCGAATTACAGTGGGAGCAACGTCGTATATATAAATTTCGAGCGACCTTGGGGAGCGAAGTCAGTTAATGCATACAAAGTATAGCTGGCCAGTAGGAAAAGAGCGCGGTCTTTACGGACTGAGGTGCAACACGGCGGAAATGCGCGAAATTTACAATTTCAAAAATTTTTGAAAATAAATTGGCAATAACTCGGAAAATAAGCAGTTTTGGGGATACTGACATCCCCAACACCTCCCCTTGTAAAAGAATGTCAATAACGGGTTTTTCGGGGGTGCATTTGAAAAAGTGTGGTTTGACCTCAACGGCGATCTGTCCACCTCTTGGTAGAAGGCTTGGCTCACTGGCTGCTGTGTTCTGTGTTGCCGGCTGCGCTGTATCAGGCGTGGTGGCCTTCAGTTCAAAGGTGTCTAGAAGTATGTCGAGCGGGAGTTCGTTCTGGGGTGCCGGTCGCTCTGAGAGATGGCATGGACGCAGTTGATTCCTGTGCCGAATCCAGATGTCATGGCCCACAGAGACGTCGTACGTTACGCTGCCGCGTTTTTGTAACACGTGTCCCGCGATCCAACGTTCATGCCTTGGTCGATAGTCTCGAGCAAAAACGCTCTCGCCTACTTGGAACTGGGCCGGTTTTGTATTCACGTCAGGTTGGGAACGAGCCATCGGTGCCGGACACATGGCCGAGTGTTTACCATGCAATGAATATCATTCTAATTTATCAACCGTAGGTGCTTGTTACGGATGGCTCTGCACACTTGCTGTTCTTGCAGTCAGTCTACCTTTCGATCTGTACAGAATGATCTCAGCGAACAAGCCAACGACCACCATACTTGCTTTTCTTGCAGTCAGTCTACCATTCGATCTGTATAGACTGAGCTGGAGGGAGTACGGGAAATGCCAAAAAATGTGTTCAAATTTCTGAGTTGAATTTTTCGTTTGATACCATATTGATAACTTTCGATGGTTCTCCTCACCACGGTGCCAAATAAAACAGAGTCCAAACTATTTCATCTTATACCAGGGGGTAAATGCAATGCCGACACACGTGTTCTCTTTTTATGTGCAGTTTAAATTATACTACGTTTGCAGATAAGTAGTTACAAACTGATGTAGATCTAACATTTATTTACCATCCTCCCTCCATTCCATTCATGGTTAGCATTCTCCAATGCAACGTTCAGTTTGAACTCCCTAGCATCCCCGATCTCTTGCCTCCCCACGGATGCTATCTCCCAGTTGTATTCCGGCGTACCCTCCTATGGCTTAGGTAAGTCATTCATACACTGTCGTACAATAAATCTTCCACCATTTGCCTAGATGATTTGTTTCGTACAGCCAACTGACTGTAAGCAGTACGCGGAAGCTTACATCTCACCCACATATATGGAAAGAAATGTCGTAGGTTCTACAGTTTCATCTTGCCGGCTGAGGCGAATGAGTAGTGAGATCTCGAAATGGGACGCAAAAGCTGTGAACTGAAAGAACTCAACAAATTGATTGTGTTGAGGCATGGCCCGGCAACCTGAATTGCCATTCTTGTAGCCCATCTACTGGTACGCATCGGTGGTATGTTTGTGTAAGATACCGCGAAAAGTTGTAACGCTCGTGGCCGAACGACTAAGTGTTCAAACTACTAGCCGGAGGTCGCCGGTTCGAGACTCTCTGGGGTCTCGTGACGAGTCCCAAGGAGGATGAAACGGCTGTACAGTGCTTGTCGGTCCTTTAGCACAGAGTGGTTTCACATCTCAGTTGAAAACCCCAACGAGCCGCTTCTCACTTGCTCGGCATCAGACTAGGTTAAATTACACTGATGACCCCAAAAAGGAGCAAACTATCTCGTGTGGCTGCAGGTCTGAACGACTTGCCACATCTCTCCAACGTTTTCGTCAACCACATATCGAAAAGGCAGGCGGTCCTCACAAGTCACGAGCGCTAATCTGGTCGAGCCACCTCAGTTAGGCTATTTTTCGATATGGCTTGTTTTTATTTCGAAATTTCGTCTTGTACCAGCCCGGGCCTTCCAACTAGTCCGAAAACGTTTGTTCCGAATTGGTTCTAGCTTATCCCGCAACCGCCGTTGCCGCTGCAGCTCAGGCAGCAGCTCTGAACCCGTTCACCAACCTGGCTCAACAAGCCCTGAATATGCCCGTTCAACAAAAGGAGGGAACTAAAGATTTGATTCTCACAGGTGAGTGATGCAGACAGAGTTTGTCATCCAGTTTCACTTTGTTGGTACGCGTTGATCTACTTACTCCGTACCCTCTGGAAAGCCAACAATCTTAAAGAATTTTAGTCCTCACAGATCAGTCTTCAACAGAGTTAAATCAGAAAAACCAACCGTTTATTTCAGTTGACTCAATCATCCAATGGGTGCGTGTGAAGCAAGACTAGGACTCTATACGAACACGTGACAATCGATAGGATGGGCCAAATGGCCTAAGTGTGTGTAGCACGTGCGTACCACGTGACTGGCTGAGTGTGTGAGTGGGTTCAAATAAAGATGAGGACTGCGGGAGATGGAGACAGACAAATGTGTTGGGTGCAGTGGTCGCTCTCCACAATGGACTTAAAAACAGACATCAGAACACGGCACTGAAGTAAAATTGTCGCAGCGTACGGTAATCATGCACGGTTCGATTGATTGTCGCGAGCCTGCAAATCCGGTAACATAACACCGGACCTGTTCTATAAGTTACCTGTATTTAATCAATGTCTAAAACAAGCTGAGCAGTGATCACACCTTAATTTCTTATCATTTAATGGTCGAGGATCCCCTGACAACCTTCTTCAAACGAAACACTGTACCTCATAAGAATTACCTCTCAGGAGGGCAAAGTGCAGAGCACTGCTTTCGTACCAAGAAAGTGAATAGTGAAACACGTCTATCCGAGTGGGATAAATCTTTTGCGCCGTCACCGATTGTAATGATGATGACGATGATGACGAAGATAACAACAAAGACAGAGGCTTATTAAACCTTTGGCAACAGAACTCGGACCTCGGACATCTTTCAAGGTGGTCTTTTGAAAGGCATGTTTATTGACCGACCTCCCAGTCACGTGGCTTATATCGCGTTATTGACTACAAAAGCAAGTTCCTCCTAACAGAACTTTCCAAGACCAAGTTTGGTCGTAAGTTTCTCGTTAACGAACCAGTTTGATGCGTGTACTCCCTCAGCCTGGAAAGTACATAGATTCCGTTAAGAGTGCCATTGGTTATGATGGACATACTCAAACTGGATTCAATCCCAACTAATCCTCCCCGTTTCATTGTTTGCCCTCACAAGCAGGTCACCTAGCTCCAGAGCCACGGTAATTTTTTTTCATTTTCCATACGTTTTCAATTGGAAAAATCGATGGCTTAATCAAATTGTCCACACAGTCGTCTCGTAACTCTGTTAATCTTCAAATGAGTTGGCTCGGGTGGTTCTATCGTCTTCTTTTCGTGTGGTCCCTCTTGAATTGTGATCCACCGTGTTCCCCTTTCTGCCTATAAAAAGTCACCAGCTGTTCAATGTAGTCAGACGATGGCTGTTTGGCGTCGTTTATCAGATGTATTTTGGAATATCAACCAAACTACCCGCCTTTTTCGATTCAGCTTTGTCTGTTTAGCGTTGGTTCATATCTGTTGATGTCTCAGAAACTATTTTACTATCTGTAGTTCCGTACAGTCGTTTGGTTGTATGTTGTCCTGACTATCAGGAGGCACGAGGTGGAGGGTGTCATTCACGGGCAATTGTGTAACCTTCGTTTTCGTTCCGTCCGGGTACAAAATGGGGGACACGGTGACGTTTGAAAAGAGCAGCTTTCGATTATTACTGGAAGTAACCTTCCCTCGGGAAACGTTAACTTGAAGGGTAGTGCCGTTATGAAACCGCCGGCTTCTTTTTGGAGGAATGCATTACTTTCTGGAAGCTTCAGGGTTAAAGAAGGCTGCATTCCTTGCTGCCCGGATCAATATGCTTGTTAGTTTGATTTCCACTTGCCTATACGGATTTGCAGCATCACCTGAGACTTTATCTTTATCAGTGTTAGGCGGAACTCCACACGGATCCCTCTTTACCGCTCCCAGTCAGGTGCCGCTACGGCCGAGAAGTCCATCCCGCGCAAGCTTGTCCGAAAATTCGGGACGCTTGCCGGTCCGGCACCAAGCCGAGATCTGATTGGTCAAAAGTTTGGACCTAACAGCCAATCATGACCCAGTATTGGCTGAATGCCGGTTGCCAGTGCCGCATCCAGAGCGCGTCGGTCAGCACAGTCGTTAGACAAAGGTTAAATTTCTTGTGAAAAGATTTCTCCCAAGAAGGAGCATTACATACAACTGGACTTTTTGAAATCCGCAAAGTGTGTTATATTACATTAGCATGTCCTCTGGACGGAAACTGCTACTCCCCTGAAGGCTGTTGGGAGTGTTCTGTTCTTCCATGGTTTCTTGTAGGAAATCGAATTTGGCACGGCCAAGGCGGTTCCCCCGCTATGACCATTTCCCATGCTCATTTGTCACTGTTGGTTAACTGGTTAGGATTAGTAATTGTTGCGCAATGATAATATCCGTGTTACACAGAGAACAGTTTTGTGAACTTTACATTTGGACGGTTAGGATTTGACTCCTTGTAGTTTTCCATCGGTTCATTCTTGAAACTGTTGTACATCTGTTGTCTCAACAACGCAAACGAGACTTTGAAATGAAACTGCATTGAGCGGTTGTCACTGTTGAAACGCACCAACTATTTGGTCCAGAGGATGACAAATTTGCCAAGTGGTGCGTTGGCACGTCCTTTGGGGACTGCGGCACGTGTTCATCAGGAATTACGGATGGCAAAGCGGTAGACCTGCCTGCGCAGACAAAACAAATACACTACTGAAGTAAATTGCCGACAGACAAACATGTTACAATAGAATGTACCGGTGGATATGTTGGCTGTCATTACGCAAACGTCCTACTATGAAAGTTTTCGGTGCGATATAAAGGTGACATTTTTCCTGAATTTCAAAAGCGGTCACCGTCATATGGACACATCAGATACTGACACCTGTAATCAATCATTTAACTAAAATTGGTCATCCAGCCAGCAAAAAGACCGTTGCAGCATGAGCCCCGTTCTCTTAGTGTAACCAAGTTACCGTAAGTTGGTTCACTACCGGATTTTTACTTGAAAATACTTCACTATCCTATACGTTGACTCTCTAACTAGGGATCTCAGTCATGGCATATCTTCCCGGTACCTTTTGTAGCACTATCTTCGTTCAAATGAAGGTGATCAGGCACAAGGATAGATCAAACCGTCAGTGCGGACGAAACTCTGCAATTACACAGGTGTGTAAACAAGCTAGTAAGGCTGAAAATGATTGGAACAGCTTTTTGTTTCCTCCGACCCATGAAATTTGATCTTTGTGGAAGGGTTCAACGGCAATCATCGATCCTCGCCCTTATCCAAGCTCCATAAGCCTATAACTTTAGAAGAACTGACTCGCCATATTTATTGTTGGTCGGTACTATTAATCGAGGCATTTACGTTATCACGTGTTGATCTTACCGGGCCGACAATATGTGGAACTCCAGGTGTGTTGTGTCCCGGTTGTTGGTCTCACTGTTCCAAGGTTTAGTTACGCAGTCTTAGCGGAATTGCACGTAGTACAACCAAATCGGTGATTGTGTAATGCTGTTGTCCAGCCCGTACTGTCCCGGCGGGTGAGAATGCGTGAAGAGTTGGAGTCTGTCTACGGTGTTTAACGTGTTCTTGTCCAATCTAATGTTCCGTTCATTTCTCACCCAACTGATAACGTTACCTGGATCGCTCGCGCACCCCGCCAAGGCCCCGAGGGATGCAACCTGTTCATTTATCACTTGCCACAGGAGTTTGGAGACCCCGAATTGGCTCAGATGTTTATGCCGTTTGGCACGGTCATTAGTGCCAAGGTATACGTTGATCGAGCGACCAATCAGAGTAAATGTTTTGGTAAGTTCATTCACTCCCATTGGTTGGAAATTCACGAGTGTTTTGGTTAATAGCAGTAAATCTACAACGCCCAATACGGATTGTTTTTTTAACCGTACCGTAATTTCGGATCCTATCAAGATGGAACGGACTCTTCCATTTGAAAAAGCGATCGCAAACAAGAGGAAACCACCTTTATTGTGGAAACATATCCTGACAAATCCTTTGTAAACTTCCTAACCAGCGGTTAAATTTTACCTTACTTTGATAATTTTCACAAGATGTGAATATCGTAGAAAAGCCATGAAGCTATTGAACTGTTAAGCTGGGTAAATAACAGCTTGAAACACAAAGTTTATGGGTAAGTTCAGGGAAAAACAGTAGTTATTCGGCTGGGCGGCGTGTAGGGTGCTTCTGTGTGGGCAGATATCGAACGAACAGTGTATGTCACGAGCCATGTACGGAAAAAAGACGCAAGTAGGCTAACAGCAGAGGACAGGAAAGATTCTCCGTTGCGACCAGGCTGAAGTGTTCACTGACAAGTCATTGACGTGCTATCGGTTGGCCAGAACAGAATCTCGTAGTGCGCTGATTAGGTGTGAGGTGAAAAATCTATCGCCGTTCCCGAACCACTGAACAGCACATCGTTTAGCACAGCCCACAAATTTGAGTTTAAAAGCCTTGGACCTGCAACGCTTGAGATAAATCGGTGGTTAGAACGCATACTAACCGGGAAACCCGTGGTTCCAACTCAACACCGACACCCTAATCGATACTCTCCAAGCCTTTTAGTGACTGTCGTAAAGCTTCGATCTACCTGTATCAGGAAGGTCTGATCCTAAAGTAACCTTTGGAACACCCTGAACCTACTGCTGCACCAAAGTCTCAACAGGAAAGCCGGCAAGTATCCAGGATAGTCAATCATTCAATCAATTCAGCAAAAGCTGATGAGTGTTCTTGAACGCCACAGAAGCACGACCGAATGTGATCAACATTCAGGCTTTTCACAGAGGCACGATCGATGTTGATGGGTGTTCATTAACGCTTATCCAACAGCCTAGATCAACGTCAGAAAGTCCCCTTTAAATAGCGTGGGGCTGTTTGTCGTAAAGCTTCGATCTACCTGTATCAGGAAGGTCTGATCCTGAAAGTAACCTTGGAACACCCTGAACCTACTGCTGCACCAAAGTCTCAACAGGAAAGCCGGCAAGTATCCAGGATAGTCAATCATTCAATCAATTCAGCAAAAGCTGATGAGTGTTCTTGAACGCCACAGAAGCACGACCGAATGTGATCAGCGTTCAGGCACTTCATAGAGGCACGATCGATGTTGATGAGTGTTCACTAACGCCTATCAGACAGCCTGGATCAATGTCAGAAAGTCCCCTTTAAATAGCGTGGGGTCGTTGAAACTTCTGCTCTCGTACTCGCACGCACTCACGCTCTCGCCCTCGCTTGTTCGGAATAAAACGGTTGTGTTCCCTTCTGTGAGTCTTTTCTCCGGCACTAGGGGCTGGAGCGGGTTAGCAGCAGATACCACAGGTTGGCGAATCAGCAGATATAACAACCTGCATCTAATTTGGTTTTGAAAACCCGAGAACTTATTGTGACATGCACTTTTGTTTGAGGTTACTCACACCAGTAAAGTACACTCATATGCACACCAATTGGCTTTCAGAGAAGACTCAACTAAACCTCTCGTTTATCATGTTCTTGTCTAACTGAAAGTGCTGCACAAAGGTCGCCTCATTAGGCACGACACTCGAGATATTGCGGTGCATATTCCAGACAGAATGCACTTTTATAAGGTTGCTGTAAAAGAATTTGACAGTTCGCGACCGGTTTCGCCCTTAATTTGGGTTCATCAGGTAGACGTGGCCTCCAATTTTTCGTCAACAAGATTTTCTGCTTGAACTCAAACTTCACGAAATTCGCATACTGCACTTAATTTCCGTTCGCCAAACATTTGCGTCACTATTTTCATTACGGTTGTACTTCGGCTTTTTAAAAAAATTCAAATAGCTCATAGGTGGCTTGTTTTCAGAGAAAAAAAAATCAGACATCAAGAAAAGCTTTACATTCAATTGCAAAGAAAATGGTGTCTGAAATTAGAAAAACAGCGTAGCCTTGGAATTCTAATGTTCTGAGTGACATGGAAACGGAGTTGTATCCTGTGAGGATAGCGAGGATAGCTTTGACCAATCTCGTCGGTTCGTTCTCTCAAGGATAGTTCGGCTAACACTGCAAGAAAAGATATAATGCAGAATGCAAGTCAAGAAATAACGTCACATTAATTTAGGGCATAAGACGGGGCAAAATGTTGCATCTATCTTCACTCTTGGAAAGTGGGATCTTGAAGTAGCAAAGATGAAATGTTCAAAAACTACTGCATCGACTTTTTTGTCCCTGCGATCAACTATTAACCCGTGTGAAGTGAACTTGAACAGTTATCTTTCACTAGGTGTAAGATTGCATGGACTTTCACAAGAAACCAGCTGGTGACAAACACTGATGTTGTACGCTTCACGTTGTGCGCTTCACGCATTTTCACATGACCTTGATAAGGCGGTAGAACCAAGCAGGTTACGAGACACTAGAGTGACTGTAGTGTTCTGTTAACGTTCTGTTAGTGTTCTGTCGCCTATGTGGGAAGTCGTAAAAAGTTTTCTAATCAGCACGTGACTCAACCGACCAGGTGGATAGAACCGTGGACTACCGTTTCGATAGCGGGAGAGTGAGTTCCGAAATGAGAGCCCTCAAACTGTCTCCAGTACACATGCTGCTCTAAAAATAAAGACGCTTTCGACATTGTGTCAAGCAACGTAACTGGACTAAAAGCGAAGAAAAATAGCTACAGAATCAAACAATGTACGAAATATGCACGTTAGAACGATTCGTGTTCACAACCAGACCCACCTAAGGTTTGAAAAACTCTGTAAACTTATGGTTATCCTATAGATTGCTACAAGAGGATGAATTGTATCATGCCGCATTCAATCCTTTTTCTATTGTCTACAGGATTCGTCAGTTTTGACAACCCAACCAGTGCACATGCAGCAATCCAGGCAATGAATGGCTTTCAGATCGGTATGAAGCGGCTCAAAGTTCAGTTGAAACGTCCAAAAAGTGATGCGACCAAGCCATACTGAGGCTGTTATTGCAGCACTCTTTCGTGTGCAACTACCCACTGAACAGATACGTCACATTCTCTGTTTTCTACACTACTCCCCACTCTTCCGTCCATTTTATGGTAACAGTGTGGCAGTTCATTTGCCATTATACATTCCAACAATACCTCCCTTTTGACATACAACAAAACCACTCAAAACTACATGTACATATCGAAACGGTCAAACAAATCCACAAAAACATCGAATCTGCGCTACCCACGGGAGCCGGAACAGAGGCAGTGGTGGTCTGCGTTGCCATCGCCGTTGTTTTTTAATAATGTTAACTACTTTTACTTGTGTCAGTAGCATGTTGTCACCGTAGTTTTTGCACCCACCCGACGAACGTTCAGTTACCGTTGTTCGTGTGCCATTCGGACTTAACTATGTCCTATCTGTTTATGTGATTCTCTTGCTTCGTGTCGTCGATCAAATTTGTTAATTTATCCGTGTTCCCCTATGTTATCTTCCATACTATTCGTTTTCCTTGTTGTGTTCGCAGGAATTAGTCTAACACTGCTCGTTTATGCGTGCGTGCCATTTCCGATATTAACCCCTATCTTTGTGATAACTTTTGTGTCATTGAGAGGCAAACTCTATCATACAGTGTATCACCACTGCCATCTTGAAGTTTCGTTGTCACAAATGGCACTTTGTAACTTGACAGTGGCTTCCTCGAAATCAGGAGGTGTCAACACTGCCAATGTCATCTTGCCACCGTGTGTTCGGAGCCTCGCCCCGTATTCCGCGCAAATTGTCCATACATCAAAGAACAATAGTACATTCCAGTTAACTGACCTACAATACCTACGTTCAATTATGTTCTATTTTGACCTTTCTCTCATTTCAGTTATCAAAAACACCAAGTATCCTGTTTTACAATGACTTGTCTTCAGACAACTTATCGACAGTGCAATGACCTGAGACTTGTTAACTTTGGTCACACATGTGCACTGTGTCTGTGAAAGCTAGCAAACTAGTCTCAAAGCTGTGACTTAATATTTGAATGAATAAAATTACACTTAATGACAGTCTGAGAAAAATGTCTTCTTTTTGTGTCCAATTACGGGTGTATTTTGTGTTTCGAAATTCTGTCCCCAAACGGGACTTCAACTCTCTAAACTTCCCCGAGGAGGAACTGTGTATGAAAACAAAATACGAGACTTAGCTGACAACAAACGCTGTCCTGGACTATCCAGGACAATATCACTTTTTTGGTGGGGTCCATTTTTGTCAAAATTGGTTATGCAATCTGGTACTGATTGGTGATTTGCAAAACCTTGACGGCAGAAAAGTTTGTAGAGAGTTTCTGTCCACTGCGGTGTCCAGTAGCTCGATAATTGCTCGATATTGGTCAATGTGTCGATGCTCCGGCAGTTGTCGCAACGTAGAAATTTGGTAGTGTAGCCTTGTCCAAGGCAAATGCCAGCTCACTCCTCAAGAGATACGGAAAGTATATGGTCATCAAGATTTTGGACGCCACAGATACGTAGCTGATTTCCAGATTATTTAAACAATCATTCAGACATCCTGTTCTGTTCTGTAGTTTGGCACACTGCACCAATATCTCACCAAAAAGGTTGGTGAGCTGATGGAACAGCTCGTTTTAGAGCCCCGCGGCGTCCAACAGTATTTAGTTGGCGAGGGTTGGTTGAAATGAGCTCACAAGTGCTCCATCCGGCGATCAGTATGTCAGTGCATGTTCGTTATTGACATTCTATCAATATTGTAGAACGATAGTCTGAAGCCGACCAATATGAGCAGTACCTTGTGAGTAGTGTGTTACATCTATAATTTATATCGCGATATCTCGAATATCGTATATACTCAAAAATCAGGGAGTCTGGTGCAGTACATTCAGTTAAAGAAATGCGTCATAAATTAGGGCTTCCGCTCGTCTTCATGCGTCTGTAGTAATGGTATTTGCCTCAGCTTAGTCCTCGGTCTGAGCCTCCCAAGCTAGCATTCACGTCGAAACAACCATCAAAGGTGACCAACGTATAGTAAGTCCCAAAATGAAGTCAAGAGCACTTGTACAACATCTGATATATACAGTGTAAGCCGCGACAACTTTCTGGAAACTGCCATTGGCAACCGGCATTCGACCAATACTTGGCCATGGTTGGCTGTTGGTTTCAACCAATCAGATCTCGGCTTGATGCCGGACAGGCAATCATCCCAAATTTTGGCCAGTCTTGTGCGGCATAGGCTTCTCAGACATAGCAGCGCCTAACTGCGAGCGGTAAGGTGGGATCCGTGTGGAATCCCGCCCAATAGAAACTCCCCGAAAACCAAATTAGTATGCCGATGAGTACATTAGTTAAGGCATGGCCTGTGTTTCTAGTCGCCCATGCAGGCTGTATCCCAACACCTTCCTCTGTAGTTCCTTACAGTCTTGGACGATCAACCGCTATCAGTTGTGGGGGCTAAAAGGTGTCGATGTCTTCAGTTTATGTTACCAGCTAAATGCCACATGAACGCATTAATAGCTCGTCATAGTTACTGTTCGACCTCTGATCCTGAATGTAGGATTCGGATGAAAGTTTATTCTGAAAAGCGACAAGAATGCCCGGGTATTTTGGCTTGGGTAATTAGTCCAGTTTGGTGGCGTAGATGATCACACAGATGGATTGTAGACATGGCCGTCAAATACGCGTCCATCCATCCATCAGTAATCTGTAACTTTGTGGTCTACCTGCATCCAAATTTTGCCTGTTAATGGTGTGAGCAATGTTAGAAGTTCCTTCTGGTACTGATAGTTTAGGATGGCCGAGAATAGTCTATGGTGTGAGCCGTTCTCTACGGTAGCCCTGCAAACCATCAAGGAAGCTTGGCCGTCCAGACTGCGGTTCTAGCATTCTCACAGTATTAGGATTACATTCTTCCCTTAGGATCCGCTTTCTTCCTATGTCGGTTGCACAACTGAGTATAATATTTGTTGTTCGTTTCACTGAGGCTGCAATCACTAGGCGCAGAGGTCAGGAATGAGCAGCGCTTCCTCTATTCTTCTCGCCTTAAAAGAATCTGTTTATTTAAGTGTGCGAAGGATGCTATTTCTCGGTTTCCAATCAGGTAGGGCTACCTGGGAGCTATTACTAACCTGCAGTGCTCAAAACTGAAGCTACTGAATCTCCCGAGTAATGCAGATGACAGGTAATCTTTGAACAAGGCAACGATGACTTCATACGAGGAGAAGAGTTGGAATTTTACGACCATAAATTCAAGTAAACCACAGTTTCAGTGTTACCCAAAGTAGAGCGGTCTCTTACCCAATCTGGCTGTACATTAAAAACATTCAATTTCAAAGGAGTCTTGGACGAGAACCTTTTATATCCCTTCGAGGGTTGCCTCACAGAAATAGCACATGTGTGGGATAGAAAAATTTTCCAGAGACGAGTAAGGTTTTGTAGACATTGTGGTGATTTGTAAAACTTATGTACTAGTAGAATGGTGTGCCCTTTTGCTCTGCAGGCGTCATATCTCCGGTTGGTAACCCCAGATATGAAAGCCTCTGAGTGGAATACTATTTCGCAAGGTGGGAGAGTGACTTAAGGAGTGACGTGATTGCAGTTCACGCCTCTGGATGAAGTCAGACGTCTCAAGATCTCGATGCTCCTTTGATTTCTAAGGTTATCGGCCAGTATCGCATGTGAGCGCCCCCACCCACTAAAGCCCCATGATCTGAAGTCAGACGACTCTTCTGCGAACCCACTTAAAACACCAGACGCTCTCTTCAACACCTCAGTTTGGTGACAACAGCTCCGCCACAGTAAGTCATTGAAACGTGCTTCCCCGGTAAACCCACGTGTGCGGTAGGCCTTTTGGGAGCACGAATTGCCTGGGTCAGACTAGGGGTAGCCGCCAAATTAGACCATCCAAAAGGGACCACCTCAAGGGAGAGAATTAAATATCCCTCGACCGGATACATTTTCCATTCTGCGTCAAACAAAACATCCGAATGTGGTACAGAGGTCTCCAGGGAGAGCCATGAACTCGAGTTTCACTCTTACTGGAGGGTAACATTACTGCATTTCCTTCACCATGCAGGGACTCCAGTGGTTCAGAATTGGAATCAGACAAGTAACTGAAGGGTAGTTCAGCTAGCAAGTTATTAGTTAAACAACAGAAAATCTTTCATCGGATTTGACATATTCTACCCAATCTCCTGAGCAAGGAAAGCAACTATATCACCATTGCGTTGACTTTCTATTCTCCCAAGACAGAACAGGATCGGGACAAAAGATGAAATTGGGAAGCATGTACCGAAGTCTGATCGTTGAGCATAGGAAAAGGCAAATGAAGAATGGTCCATTGTTATATATAACCTTATATATAATCTTAAAACAATACGGACATCTGTTCGGAGGCGAGCCGTTCCTAATAACCGAAACGCAGGTCAACTGGACGGATGTGTCACGTGCGGGCTATGGGCCAAACGAAGGTGTGCCCTGATAGGTCAGAATGCCAGCCAATCCGGATCGAGAACCTTTGACTCGACACTTCTCGCCTCCTCAAGGAGATGCTAGCGCGACCTTGTGGAACACTGAATACCTTATAAGTATAGTTGTAATAATCTTTCCTTGTCTGCATAAAGGACTGTCTGAAGCTACCGCGCCTTTTGATATGCCATGGTGGGTGGAGCAGGAAGCCAAGGGCCGACACAGAGTTGCACGACCGTTCAACAAGTCACAGCAACATCCATAAGAATCGGTCTGCCAAGTGGTTTTTGCTTTGTCTATCTGAGTTTTCATCAGATACAGCCTGTAGTGCACACATACCGACTGTGTGATTGTATGAATCGATGAATCAGACAACCGGTTTGTAGTTTGACATACCGGCGACTGTTTCCATGCTATCAGCGGATGAGTACGCCTATTCAGATAGGGTAAGTCTCCATGTCAGTGTACTCCACAGACAGAAGTGATGGCTTCTCATGCGTGATAACTTTGTGTTCACTCGATGTGACGTCTTCGGTATTATACACTCAACCACCCACCCACCCCACACACCATTCATACCAATCGTATACTACTTTCTGGTTTGCCACATTGTCATGTGTTTATGAGTCGTGCTCAGTCCGCCATACACATTCCCAAATTCAGCAATTCCAACAACAATAAACCGTGGAGTCATAAATGTTGGTCAGTTTGCCTTCGCTGTGCTACTAACATGCAGTTTTGGGTCACTCTGACGCTAATTTGACAGGGTTTGTCTGACGTTGTCGAAACAGGCCACATTCCATTGACTCGATTTGTTACTCTCGCCAACAGGTTGGTGAAATATTTACCGCCTTTGATAATCAGAAAGTCATGGACGCATGAAACCTAGTCCATTCATCTATCAGATTTACTCTAGAGGAAGATATCGGGTTAAGCAGGGATTGTAGCGACCCAGTTACTTTGTCTTTTTTCTCATACTCATAAACACGTCACACTAAGCTGACTCATCAGACAGCTATTGTCTGCACCGCCTAGTCAGCGTAGCAACCACTCATGTGCCGACGAGCCCACGTAAACGCACTGGGACCTACATTAAGGGAAACCGAACCTAGTCAGGACACAGACTCGCGCGCGCGCAGGGAGCAAGGAGTCGGCCCAAGCACTCCAAGTCTACGGACAACCATGGGACACATGTAGCGGCCAAACTGCGGAGAAAACGCGTTACCGCCGTCCGGACTTTCACCAAGGGACTCTCACATACGATAAGTTCCTTTCTGACTTGCTCCCATTTCGCATTGTATTTATCTTTATACGAGTTGCAACCCTCCACTGTCCACCATACTAAAAGCTTCTATTAGTGCACATACACTTTCTGATTTGTATTATGGCTATCACCAACTGTGCACTAATAAGATCAGTACATCCGTTTTTTTTACAGTTTTATGCCTTTGAAACAGAAGAGGAAACTCGTTCAGGCGAAGTCTGTTCTCAGGATGTCGTACAGCATGAGCTAAAACTATTCATTGGTA